CACCAGTTCCTCAGGATGCAAGTCTCTCTTCAGGTTCCAGATGTGGCAACAGGCATCCCCTGAGGCACTTCCCTAAGGCGGTGTCCTTTGTAACCTAACTTCAGACTATATTCAGTCACACAGACCAACCCTTGTTCAATGTAAGAGACCACATAAAGGTGGGAACACCAGCAGAGGGCCCTCAGGACCATGTGGAGGTCCAACCACAGACCACCACCAGAGAAACAGCAAAGAAGGCAGACTCAGGAAAGGACATGTAGGAAAAAGAAAGGCCACTTACTGCCTTAATGCATCTAGGACCATTCCCAAAGGATAACATCATAGGGATTTTCCAGAAGGAAGGAACAGTTAATGGGTTCAAATGCAGGAAGTCCAAGAGGTAGAGCCCAATGAGCACAGAAATTAAGCCACTGGATCTGGTGGTTGGCTACAAGCCAGCATGGTCACAGTGACTTGGAAGCAGGTGGAAACCACATTTTAGTAGATGGACAAGTAAATAGAAAATGAAGCAATAATGGGAGGGAGTGGTGAATTTAGACCACTTTCGAAAGTCTAGGTGGTAAAGTGTATACAGATTGCATGTGATCTGCAGGGGAAATCAGTGTCTTGCAGGAAAGCTTTGTTCCTGGCTATGAGGAGGAGGGAGGAGGTGGAGGGAAAAGTTAGAAGACATGGGTCTGAAGCCCCAGAGGACATGCAAGGATGGTGATTGCAAACACAGGTGTGAGGATTAACTCCTCTTCCTCTGTTGGAAGGAAAGGTCGGGTGAGAGGGAAGGTCAGTTGGGAGGAATGCAAAGGGTTTGGAGAATGCAGGTCTCACTCTGTTTTGTTCTGCAGACACTGAGATGAGGGTTGAGGGGCTAGGGGACTCTGAAGAGGTCAAATGCTTAGACCAGCTCCAGGGATTTATCTCCACAGCCAGACACTCACTTTGAGTTATGCCCATGAACTTCCTATTATTCTGTGCAGACTTCCTCACCAGCAGTGGAGGAAGTTAACATCTACCCACATTCATCTTGTCCTGGCTTCTCACGCTCCCCAGAGCCAACCCAGCATTTGGAATGTTTGTGGTGTTACGAAAGGGGCACAATTTATGGTCATCCCATACGGCAGGGAGTATCTGTGAAGCATCCATTTACAGCAACACACAGAAGCCCTGGACAAGGCCAGGGAAGGCTGCAGCCCCAGGACTGGTGACACACTGGCCCCATGGACTCCCATCCAGAGGGGACAGTGGGGAGCCTCACCAAGCCCACCATTGCTGTCTCAGATCCAAGATCAGTGAGGAAATCACCACCCAGTCCCCCTGAAGCCCTCCCGAAGAGCCTAGCCCACTGCCCCTAGATGGTGTCCTCTCACTGGGCAGCTTTATGACAGATGGCCCCGTGTAACTGGAGGGCCAGCAGAGGAGGCTGGGCTGAGACCACTGGAGTCACAGTCCCCTCACTTCTATTTGGTGTGATCATGAGCAAGTGTACCTAACCTCACATCCCTCTGCTCCCTCACCTATAAAATGCGAAGAAGAAGAAAGGGTGCGTACATGGTGCTTAGCACCTGGAATGGGGTTAACTAATGTGGAGCAAACACAACTGTCAGTGACATCATCAGTAGTTTCCCCAGTCCTGGAGGCAGGACATTAGATTGTTGTCGGTGTGTTGAGCCAGCCTGTCCTCCTCTGGCTGCCGCGACAGAGACTCTGGTTGGTGTAAAGTGTAACCTTCTTGGCAGTGGGCGAATGGGTGCTGGGTGGGCCCTGCCATCCCAAAGAACAGCCACTGCCTTTACCCCAGGTGTCCATGAGGCCAGGCCAGGCTGTGTCCCCCAGTTTGGGGTATTGTTGGTTCAGTGGGGGGAACCCTGTGGTAATAAAACCTACATAGGTTTGGTCCCAGTGGGGTCAGTTTTCTCTGTTCACTTAAAATATTAACTCCCATTTCCTGGCACCTGCTTTAAAGAGGCACTTTTGACATAGTCCTTTAACCTGGTTAGTCACCTTATAGACCCAGTTTACAGATAAGATTAGGATGGAGAGGGTAAGTGAGCATGTGGGCCACACAGCCGTTACCTGCAGAGCTGAGCTCCGCACCCTCCTCTCCCCTCCCCAGCAGCCAGGGACCCTGAGCAGGTGGGTAGGAGGGAAGGCAGGATACCCTTGCTCTCTTCCTTTGTCTTCTAAGCAGCATCCCTGACCCTGCTCAGAGCCCCTGTCTAGATTCTTTTGTGAGTCATACCACCTAGAATCACAGACTCCCAGGTCAGATGTATCCAACTGGTGCTTGAGAACTGCCCAGGGTCACACCCCACCCCATATTTGGACAGGCTCCAGGGACCTCAAGACTTCCCACAACCACCCATCCTGTCAGGGGGAATGGTAGTCAGAACACCTTTGCCTGCTTTGAGTTAAAATCTCCTCCTAACAACTTCCACCCACTGGTGTGAGTTTGAACTTCTTGAGATGCAGTACAAGCAGACATCATGCTTTCTCTGTGTGCTATGCACACCAGGCCATGTCCAGAACAGCAGTGCCCTGGGCATGCTGCTCCCTGTGCTGCTGTAATACAAGTGCCCTCTTCGTGCCCCTTTTCCACACCCATGCAGGATCCTCACAGCGATCCAGTTCATGGCCTTCCCTCCACTCTGCCTCTCAGCAGCCTCTTGGAAGCAGAGCTCCCTGGGCAGTCCACTGGCTTCTCCAGGAAATGCCCCTTCTCTTTTCCCATTAGTGGCAGCAAGGTCAGCCACGGATGTCCAGGAGCTTCACCACCTTCTCAGTCAGCTTCTTTTTAAGGTCTCGGTTCATGGAAATCTTCTCTCCAGACTCAGGGAAGTCTACGGGACTTGTCTGCCCAGCCATTCTCTCCCTTCCCTATGGAGCTCCACAAATGGCTTCACAGGAGCAAGAGGGTCAGAAACTCTGCCAGGGTCACCTTTGCAGTTCCTTCGGGAGGAACCTCCTCTGAGGCTCTTCCACATTTGGCTTTAGCAACAGGCCCTAGTCTCTGTCCACCATCAGCCCCACATCCCTTCCTCCATCCATCTGAGCAGGCAGCCTGGTGAAGCAAGGGTACCCTCAGCAGTGGAGGAACACCCCTACCTCAGCCTCTTTAGTACTCAGTCTCCAACCTGAGTCCAGTGCCCAGGAGAGAGCTTCCTGAGAGAAAGGCTTGGGGAGAACTCGCTGGGCACTTTCCACCATGTCAGGCAAAGTCAACTGGCTTAACAGCAAGGAACAAGTAGGTCTCTCTGCTCCAAACCACAGCCAGTGCTGGGGCTGCCCGCCATCTCACTGGGCAGACCCCAGGTTCCGGGTATGCCCTTAGCCTGACACCCCTGTCAGGAGGCAGATGCCCATCCTGGTGCAGGTATGCCTAAGGGGAGGGGGCACATTCACCCTGGGCCCTGTTAAAGGTGAGCTGAACGTTTGCATCAGCACATCCCCCTCCCGGGCCATTTGACCAGAGTTGGGTCACATGCTCATTCCTAAACCAAAGCCACCAGGAAGGGGAGGCTATAAACAGGGCTGGTGGACTGAACAGACCCGGCCAACCAAGATCTGGAAGGACTCCCTGTCTTCTGAGCAGGCAGGCATTGGACATGCCACAAAATTAGCTGCTATTAGCAAGGAAGAAGCAGGGGATGCTGTGGGGGTGCCAGTGATCCCAAGGAACTCAAAGCAGGTTCCTGCACAGGCCCCCAGTATCAACAGCCCTGCCGCTCATGTGTGCCACAGAGAGCCAGATACCAGCATCTGGGGGAGGAGGTACCAGTGTCAATACCCATGGAGAGTTGAAAAGTTTGGAGTTGATTACTAAACACAGTCAGCTAACCCAATAAATAAATATGTCCAATCATACATTTTTAAACATGATCTTAAAGGTCACACGAGCACAGAGTTTCTTAAACTCATTCAAAGGGGCAGGGTGATGGAAAAAAAAGATAGTTTTTATGAAATGCTATGGAATCTTGATCAAATTAATCAAATCAGAATAATTTCAGTAGCCAAAATATATATATTCATTATATGGCAGTGTATGCATCCTCACCAAAGCAAAAACCAAGACAGACCATGTCTGAGTTTTCTTTTATTATTAGAATTTGGTTTGTTCCCCCCAGTTTGGTTGTTTTGTTTTCTATCCCATATGAGCAAGGGGAAAGGATTTCAGAACAATGCCTGGAAGGAAAACTGGAAGTCTGATATCATTCAATCCCTCATGTCAATTAGTAAATTAAGAATTAGTAAAATCCCATGATTGCCAAATTTTAAGTGATGGACTTCCTGGTACAACTCTCAGAACAATATACTTTGAGAACCAACAATCCAGCCAAACACTCTCATTTATTTTCTGCAAAAGTTTCTAAGGCTAACAAATATCTTCAGGTTTCCCAAGGTCACTTGGTTAATTATTGACATAGCAACTCCCCTCCCAAAGAATCATGGTCATTTCCCACATCACACATCAGGGATGTATGTCTAGAATAAAGGAAGGTCCATGTGTAGCTAATATGTCTGGTTGGAGTTCAAATCTGCCTCAGACTGGAAAGCTTTCTAAATCCATCTAGATGCAAAAGAATAGAAGCTTGGAACTCATTGCAGAAGTTCTTTCTGCTGGTGATTTAAAGACACATGCCTGTCCTGGGCACTCACACAAACACATACCTGAACACACCCCATCACCTCTAGGCCTGGAGTCTCTGGAACCACACAGGCCTGAGGTCCAGATGTTGCTTTCTAAGAGCTCCAGTAGGGAGGGCCTGGGCTGGCTCTTTGGCTCCCTCCTCCCAGCCAGAAATGGTTAACTGCCAGCTCCAGGCTGCCTCCAGCCCAGCCCTAATTGGCCTCATCTCAGGCAGCCTGAGTTGCAGGAGCTCCAGGCCAGGCCCGGCTGCAAGGGCATTCTTCCAAGGTAATGATTAAGCTAAGTGCCTGGCAAGGGCATGGGGGCTGAGCCGGGAAGGTGAGCCCTGTTCACACCTCAGCCGGGTGGTGGTGGCCAGGACTGGTTTAGGGAGGCAGGGCTCTGGGGCACCAGCCATCCAGCAGCCACAGCCTACCCCTGCCCACAGGGTTCAGGAGCACCTCCGCTGGAGAGCCTGCTGCCTGCCCTGCTGCAACCCTGCCGTCCACCCTGAACCATGGAGCTGCAGGCATTCTGGACAGGGCTGGAATACACCTGCCGGCTCCTGGGCATTGCCACTGCTACAGGTAAGAGCCTGCCTCCCAGCTGCAGCCCCCACACTGGGCCCAACAGACAGGGTTGCCAAGGGTGCGAGACAGCCGGCTGGGGCCTAGCAACACATTGGGTCACATCTGCCCCTTGTTTTCCTCCCTGTTCCTCCAGAAATGCTCCTGCAGGGCAGTGGCAGGCAGGTGGGGTGCGTCTGGGGCTGGTAGCCAGGGGGCCTGGTGTTGAGTTTCTGTTGGCAGCCACCATCCAGGTGACCTAGGGAGCCCTCAGCATCCTCATCCGCAAAATGAGGCTGGGGATCCACGCCACCTTCCCTGGGGGCTGCTGGATGCAGGCAAGGGCTGACAGGGGAAGGTGTAAAGGACAGAGCAAAAGTGAATCCAATGCTGTGGGTATGGAAATGGTCACCGAAGCTCGTCATGTCTTCCTCACACCATAGCCCCATTTCATGGAGAGAGAATTCCCAGCATTGGGGACAGTCTGAGACAGAGGATGGGCATGGTGATAGGGTTTCCCTTGGCCCACCCCAACCCAGTTAACGGAAAGCCCTTCAGAACCCAGGCCCCTCTCTATGGCCTGCCTACAGAATGCAGGATGCATTTGGGATGGAAATGTTTGCTCTCTGTACCCAGACTGGTCACAACACAGCTCAACCTGCCAGGACAGAAAGAGCAGGACAGAAAGAGCAGGACAGTCCTGCCTTCTGCCTGCACACTGCCCCAACACAGAGGGAGTGAGCAGGCATCCTTCTGAGCCCTCAGTTCTGGCCCCACTGTCCCTTGGGAACAAGCAAAGACACCACTGCTCGTCAAGTCCTTCCCGGGCACTTAAGCATGGGTCTTGGTGAACGGGAAATGTCCCCTGGCTTAGGTCAAACATCAGCCACTTGCTGATGTGTGACCTCTGGAGAACCACCCAGCCCCTCCAGGGTTGCGTGTTCTGATCCTTAGGACTGAGATAACTGGACCTACTGGTGTTCTGGAGCATCAAGGGTGCACAAACGAAGCACAGCTAAGTGAACTGAGGTCATAAAGCTCTTGGGAGAAGCCCCAGTGACTCAGAGCTCTGTGGGGGTCTCTGTCATTCCCAGGTGGTAGGCTGGCCCGTGAGCTCTTCTAGCATCTGGGCCTGGAGTTAGTACAGGACAAGCTGTTGGAAGAGGTCTAACCTCACCCTTCCTGACACAAGACTGGGCACTTCAGCTCATATAAGAGCAGTGACCTTGCCCAAGGTCACACTGCAGACCAGAGGGACAACTAGCCTACAGCCTGGGTCTCAACTTTTGAAAAGGCCTGGACTCTGGCCACAGAGCTCCCTCGTTGCCAAAGTAGGAAGCACCACCCAGCAGACACCAGAGAGGGTCTGGCGTCTCTCTCCTGAGGAACCAGAGCAGATGAGCTGGTGGGGGAACCACTTCCAGCTTCCATCAGAGCCATACTGTCACCTACACATAAGAGAAGGGCACTAGGTCCATCCTGGGGCAGGGGAAGTAACTCTAAACAGGGCTTTCATGTCTGGGGTTCAAGTCCTGGTCTGCCTCTATTGTTCTTGAGTCTACTCTGCCCTCCTCTAGGCAGTGGTTTCCAAATTTTTTAAACATACCCCTTTCAGCTGCCAGGCATCAGAGTCAGTTCCCCCACCACATGCTGCCCAGGCCTGAGGCCTGCCTCCTGTCTGGAAGCTATTTTAATATATATCTATCCTTCTAATAGATTATCAAAAGACAGTTTAAACTCTGATTTATCTCAGCCAGTGGAGGGGTTTGCAGCCACACACCCACACACACACTCACACACTCACATACATACTGCTCCGTGATTCTCTGCACAGAGGCTACTGTCAGTGCTGAGGATGGGCCTCTAGATCCAGGCTAAAGAGAGGCCATGAGTTGCCCTCTAATGGCCAGGCTTTCCCATAATCTCGTTTGAGCTTTCTAGAGTGCTGGAGGCCAGCGGGAGGCTAGAGACGGAGGTTTTGCACTCTTGGGCACTCTCACATTTCTTCCAGCATCAGTGAGCTCCTGGCCTGTTTCCAGTGCATAAGATTTGAAAATTCCTTATTCCCTTAAGCCTCTTTTTTGTTGAAATCTCTGTTGAGAAGTCTAGGCCTCATTTGTAGGGGTGTTGCTGTTTAAGAAAGAGGCTGTCACCACCCCCAGAGACTTAAGGTGACCCCTGACTTTGTGGGAGGACCGTGGGCTCTCCAGAATCTAGGGAAAGACCCAAGGTTTCCCAAGTGTCACCAGCAGGAACCAGGGGCCCTGTCCCTTCTGTAGATGGGATCTGAGCTCAGAGATTCCAAGGTACCAGGCCCAGAAGACTCCACCAGGACAGCAAGTCCAATGGCTATGGCCAGCATGCCCTGCACAGGTGCTGGTGGGCTGAGCCTCTTCCTTCTGCTCCACCTAATTCCTGTGAGTAAAGCTTGGTTAGGATGTCCAGTGGTTCCATGGCCTTTGCTGCCCACCCCAGGCCCATGCTCCAACACCAGGGGCACAGACAGCATAGCTGCCACCAGCAGGTGTAGACAATGTAGACAGGCCATGGACAGACTCCACCCACCCAGAAGTGTTTCAAAAATTAGAAAATTCTATTCCTTTGAACCAGTCATAGGTTTCCAGGTCATCACAGAGCCACACAGTCCCCAGTTTGTCTTACACTTGACTGGCAGGCTTCACTTGTTTGCATCACCTCTCCAGCCCGGAAGGCAGTGTGTGTACACACGTGTGACCTCTGAGTGCCTCTGCTACTGAGATGTGGTCCCAGGAGACCCAAAGAAGCAGACACAAGTGGGGAACAGCACACAGACTGTGAGCACTCCACACCTCCCTGGGCAGAAACTGGACACTTAACTGTCCATCCCTCAAAGTGGATACTCACTGTGTCTGCCTGAAGGCAGGCCATGACATCCCGAATTAGAGGCCCAGGCCCCAGGAGACTCAACCCCGTGATTTATTCCCACTGAAGACCAACTGTCAGGGAGGTGGGCCTGGGGTGGGAGCACAGAGGCTCATGGTGCTCCTCCTCCATAAAATGAGAAGATGGCCTGTCCACAGGTTGGGCCCACCCCCATTCTGGGAAGGCAGAATTGGCTTCCCTTTGAACTTCTTCAGGCCCCTTAATCTTCAGGGTGAGTCTCCATGCACTTCCACACAGCTTCTCAGCTCCTGCCCCAAGCCTGTGGAGGAAAGATTGGGAAGAAGCCCCTGTGTTGGGGAAGGACATACCTCAAGGGCCCTGCAGACCTAGGTGGAGTGTGGAGGTAAGAGGGACTCATTTCCCGAGGCCCTGGTCACTGGAGGGCAAGCCCTCTGCACCTCTGTGTCCTTGTACATGGAGGGGTATGTGCCTCCCCAAAGGGGAAAAGCCTAGAAAATGTCCCTGGGCCCTTTGGTGAGGTCTCTCAACCAACCTCAGAACAAGGGTCACTCTCTGGGGCTTGAAGTTTCTCACTGCCAACATTCAAGGGCTGTTTATCCCTCTTGCTGCCCCTGTGTTGGTGTAATAGCTGATGATGAGCATTGCTGTTTGAGCATTTCTGAGCTCTGAGCGCCTGTCTTATATTAGTATTTAGTTTTGTCCTCATAACTACCCTTTGAGTGCCACCATGCTCCTCCTCATCCCCAGTGTATGTAGGGGAAACCAAGGGTTGGTGGGGTGAAGCCTTGCTCAGTCCTCACAACCAGAAAGCAGAGAAGCAAGATTCTAGCTGACAGTGGTCTACACCTGGGACCCTGATGTCACATCAGTGTGGCCTCCACCTAAATCAGGCTGAAGGACATGTCTGTCTATGTCTTGGCAGCCCCATAATGCAGGATGCAAAACACACAGAGGGCATGGAAGGGGTCTGATTGAAGCCATCCTCCCCAGGCCCCACCATCAGTCAGTCCTGGTCAGGCACAGACTGGGGGAGGTGGATTCCTGGTGCAGACGGACAGGCTTACACTGAAGCACAGTGAGACCAATCATCCACTGAATCTAAAGACCCTGACATCAGATCCATATCTCATTCTCTGTCTGAATGGCTGCCAGGCCTGCCTCGACTGGCACTGTCTCTACTGGTACTACCACAGCCATCCTTCCAAACCTGCTCCTGTACCCCATCCAGGGACAGACAAATCTGCTCACATTTCCGGAAGCAGCTACTGCAGTGGGACCTTCCATCTTTGTGTCCAGAAGGGCATGATGAACAGCATGCTATAAAGTCTCTATCTTGCTGAAGTCCCACCGTGTCTTTTGAGAGCCAAATGCTGAGCCCAGTCCCATTTTACCAGTGAGGAAACCAAGGCCCGGAAAGTCTGTGTAGCTTGGCAGACATCTCACAGCCAGCAGGCAGCAGACCTGGCACCGGGGCTCCACTCTGCCCACTCACAGGATGTAGTGTCAGCACAAGTTTCCGAAGAAGGAGAAGGCACCACACAGTCAACCAAAAAATGATCTGCACTGGGACAGGGCCACTGAGCAGTCCCTCTTCTCAGGCTAATGTGCTCTTTCTCACAAATCAATTACTTTGGATCAACCTGAGATCACTTAGGGGTTCTGTTTTGTTCAGGTTTTTGGAGCATTGACCTCTTTGCCACATAGAGCACAGAGCCCCATTCCCTGCCACCGTCCATTCAAATTGGAGACTTGGCTTATTAATATAGACTAAGACAAAAGGAACATTCAAACCCAGATGTTTTCACTATTTTGTATATTTATACATCCATAATAACTGCATAGTTTGACCATAGCCCTATCAAATCCTTCAAAAACAAAAAAGCTAAAAAGCAAATGCTTCTGAACAACCACCTTGGGCTCTCCATGCTTATTTCTACTCTTCTTTAATGTATATTCCCATGACCACCCCCTGCCATCTAAAGAAGCTCCATGTGCTTCGTGTCCATGTGTAGCTTTATTACCCAAACAAGACCACGTTGTTTTCAGATCCTCCAAGTGAATGTTGACTGTTTTCCTTTCCTGATCTGATTGTCCCAATGAATAAATTAAATATCCCTTCTTCTGTTCCACCCTCCTAC